TGGCACTAGAAGCTTTCTTGGGGCCCATGGTCACTTATTTTCCAGAAAAAATCACCAAAAACACTGTAATAATACGAAATGTTCCGATTGTATGCTTGGATGTTACCGCGGAGGCTGGCTGGTAAACAATGCCACCGGCGGAACATGTGAGCGTGGCTCAGGCCGAACATTGGACGCGTCTCGGACGAAGGGCGGTGAGCGGGTTTTTGGGCGGTATGCGAGGCAAAATTTTTGCGAAAAAAGCGAGCGGTATGTGGATTGTACGGTATGCGATGCGTGCAGGTATGTGGGGGTCCACTGTATATAAAACTATAGTTATTCTTTAAAAAATGTATTTTTTGTGAATATTTTTGTGGGTCTTGATCTGATTAACTGGATTTACATTATTTCTTATGGGAAATATTGTTTTAACTTTAGCACATTTCAATTCAGTACTAGCTTCTGGAACAGATTAAGTACGAAACTCGAGGTTCCACCGTATTCACTAACAAGATTTACTTTTATGTTTATTTTTTAAATACTACATATAGCCTCTCCTCACTTAATGATGGAGTTCTGTTCCTGAGACCACGTCATTAAACAAATTCATTGTTAAGTGAGGAGCATACTATAATGGTAATGAGTTTGTATCAACCATCTTTGATATTGGTTTAATGTCACCTTTGCACTATTTACAGCATTTCTGGTATACAGTGGTGTCTCGAGTTATGAACTTAATTCTTTCCAGAAGGCTGTTTGAGTGCCAATATCTAACGAATTTGTTCCCACGAGGAATAATGTAAATTAGATTAATCCGTTTCAGACCCCCAAGAATACACTTACAAAAGCAGTTACAAAAATACACTTACGTAATTGTTCGAGTTGGGAGCTGTTCAAAACTCAAGGTACCACTGTATTTTTAAATGTTTATTCAGTAGTGTACTGTATACTGAAATAAATAGAATAGAGGAAATCAGCTCTAATATACATTATTTAGGTATGAATACTGGTCAGAGAGCTCGTCGTAAGTCCAAGGCGTTGTAAATGAGTACGTCGCTAAGCGAGGAGAGGCTGTACTGAAAATAACACTAATGTTTAAAATCACTACACACACTAGAATATGATAAATAAAAATATGATATACAGTATATCGTTATATTACATGGTAGTTACATTCCTAAAAATGCTGTGTTACGTAAATCCATGTTAATTAAACTGAAGAACTTAAGGGAAAAATAGGATTATGTTCCTGGGAGCCCCAAAAAAGCCAAACAACTTTTTTTTAGACCTCCAGATCTTACAAAAATAAAAGTGAATACGTAATTGTAGTTCACTGTCGTGATGTATAATGTTTTTACTGCTTAAGATCACAAATGCAACAGAAATAATAGCATTTCTTACCTTAAATTGTGGGTGCTGGTGTTTGTGGATGATTGCGAAGAGAGTGGAGAGTTATGCTATGGCCCTACTGGGCTAGTACTGAAGTCAATGGTTGTACTGGAGCGTGCATAAATTACGTAATGGATTCTGTTCTATTTTACCCCGCAGTACATTTTACAACTGAGGGTAAAGCATCAGGGTCCTCCTCAGTGAAAAAGTCTAAGCCAGTCAGTTAGTAAATCAATCAAGTCAGTCAGTCAGTAAATCAGTCAAGTCAGTAAATTAGTCAGTTATTCATCACACAAACTCACACATTTACCTCTTTCTTTTTAATTGCACAGGAAGCTTCATTACCGTCACAGGCTATCTCTTGTCTAATATCTCTATTTTCTTCATTAACTCTAAGACTTAAATGCTTATGCCTTTTCTTGCCACTTTCAGCAACACTGGTATGCCTACTGGGTACCATGATTGGTATGGCAGATACAAGATATGGTAATTAAAAGATCACAACACAATTCACAAACACAGCTAGCTCCTAAGACAGAATGGAACTGAACACGAATTCACGAAGGCTGGGATGGTGGTGGTGGGAGCATTGGGGGTGGCAGGGGATGGTGGGAGGTCTCCCCTGCTGACCCACAACAAGGCGGCAGCTTGAGCTGGAGAAATTTTTTCCACACCAGCAAACAGAACCGTGTAAGTTTAATTTTACAGTGTTGTATACAAGTGTGCCGCAGTTTTTCAAAAGTGCAATCAACAGAACATGGCAAATAAATTTGTGTAATATAATGGCTACTGACCAAACATAGTATTTTTAGTTTAAAAATTCCCATAGATGGTGGTCATTTAATATCTAAATTACCAAAGAGGTATTAAAATTAAGGTCAACTTACAGTAGGCATGTCCTTTTATGCAGCGTTCACACAAAAGTGCACTCACAAGCCAGCTCTTTCCACAGGTATCACCACAAGTCTGGGATGTCCTGTTTTGCAGGAAAGTATGAAAGTTTTTCCACAAGGACTTTGTGGAACGAAGCCACTTTCGGACATTTACCAATGTCTCCTGTGACATAACAATTACTTGCATGAATGGGCCCAATCTGGATCGTTTATTACACACCTTTATTTTTAAAAAAGATTAAATTATCTGGTTGTATTTTTAATGCTACAAATAGATTTATAAGATACAGCATAGTATATATGATGTTATAAATATATAATGGTTTTTGAAATTTGCAATGGAACATCATCAATGTTGCAAGGGGAAAACTCACTTGTTTACAATTAAAACATGTGAGAGGACTGGTTGACATTTCAACTACAGCTAGGTCCTTTCAGCAGATAAAGAAGAGAGTAAAACATGCTTATACAAGGTGATTGGTCAAAGACTCAGGTGTTTGGTGTATTCTCCCATACTGTAGCCTATAATCTCCCTGGTATTTGTAAATACTGTACCTATCTGTGTTTGCAGAGAGGAGGGGTGGGCAAGCTCTACTCTAATTCTTGGTCCATACTCTAACTTTTAACTGATTTGTGTTAACCCTTTCACGGTCGAGACCCCTGATCTCAAACATGCTCTCAGGCTCAAAGAATTAAAAAAAAAAAATTATCTTATGAAGCACAAGAGAATCTTTTTCCGAAGGTAATAAAACCAAAAGTACGAAATTTAACAGAAAACTTATGGAGTTACGCTCTCGCAAAGTTAGTGGTACAGCTAGCCCTCCACTTTCACAAGTTCCACTTTCGCGAGCATCGAACATTTGCGAATGCCCAGCCACCCAATCATATTTACCAAACAAATGCACATTGTATATACATAACATGTATATACAATATTTTACGGTGTTTTCATGCGTTTTATGATTGTTCGTAGTTCAATAGGTTAAGGAAGCAGTATTGTCAGGCTAAGTAAATGCTATCATTATATTTCCCTACAATATATTTGCGCATCAAAACATTTGCAAACGCTACAGTATTACATATCCCTACATCATATTTGCGCACAAAACATTCGGAAATTTTCAAGATTCACGGGGTTCTTGATCACATAACCCTCGCGAATGTGGAGGGCCTCCTGTAGTGGCAATACTTGCATTTTGGCAATTTTGCCCACTATGCTCCCTATTTATAGCTAATTCCATTGTTCCAGTCAACCAAACTCATAGCTATTTTACTAGTATTCCTTCTATTCTATCGAGTGAGAACAAGAAGCTGCCCATTTACCTATTTAACTACCTAATAAAGTGATCAGAAATCAGTAATTTGGCCAATTTCACACAAAATTCAAAAACTTACGCTTGCTTTCCATTTTGAAATTTTACTCACACAAAAAATAGATTTACAGTTATGCAGACTACTATATTACTGCAATAATTAAATAAATAATGTCAGTGCATTCCTAAATGCATATCAGACTGGCCAGTTGGATGTATGTTTGACAAGTGATATCAAACCATACCCCCGGCCGGGATTGAACCCGCGGTCATAGAGTCTTGAAACTCCAGCCCGTCGCGTTAGCCACTAGACCAGCTAGCCACAATAAGATTCATCCAACTAGGTATATTTCTACACCATAGGAAGGTTAGCACAGGCACCGGCAGTGAAGGGACTTGAGCTAGAGTTCGTCACAGCCACGCTAGCTGGAGATTCGTCTGTAAAAACTTGCATTTGTGGTCACAGTGGTGCCTGTGCTAACCTTCCTATGGTGTAGAAATATACCTAGTTGGATGAATCTTATTGTGGCTAGCTGGTCTAGTGGCTAACGCGACGGGCTGGAGTTTCGAGACTCTATGACCACGGGTTCAATCCCGGCCGGGGGTATGGTTTGTTTGCAATCGTGTCATTACGATTTCTTGAGTCATGTTGACGGCAGTGAAGGGACTTCAGCAAGAGTTCGTCACGGCCACGCTAGCTGGAGATTCGTCTGTAAAAACTTGCATTTGTGGTCACAGTGGTGCCTGTGCTAACCTTCCTATGGTGTAGAAATATACCTAGTTGGATGAATCTTATTGTGGCTAGCTGGTCTAGTGGCTAACGCGACGGGCTGGAGTTTTGAGACTCTATGACCGCAGGTTCAATCCCGGCCGGGGGTATGGTTTGTTTGCAATCGTGTCATTACGATTTCTTGAGACAAGTGATATCATTTGTGTACTCTGGAATATCGGCAAAAATTTAACATTTCTGCTACTTTGAGTTCAGTTTCAAGCTACTTTCAGTCAAGAAACCATTCAAAATCATCTCCATTTCTATAATATATCTTCCATTCTATCAAATGAGACCAAGAAACAGAAAATACAACCATAAAAACCATAAAGTTGCAGTTTTAAACCAAAAACACAGTTTGCAATTTTTTTTCTCATTATGCACTGCGTGCTGCAGGATTTCTTTAATATGGTGCACACTTATCGCATAGATCCATTCTTTCATATCTAGGCCTAAATTTACCGCTCACAGCTTATCTGAGCTGAGTTCATGGCATAGTACAACAGGACAGACCCTGGCTTCAAAGCCAAAGTACAACGGGTCCAACACTGAAAGGATTAAGAAGAGCTACTGAAGTGTATATATATTCAAACTCCTGTAGTGAGCTGGTTACTGCTTTGTCACTGTTTAGCTCATTCCATTTCTTTACGACTCTTACACTGAGCTTGAATATTATGAATTTATACAGGTTTAAAGAAAACTGTATAGAACAGAAACACACCTTATCACAATGCCAGACTGGGTTGGCACATTCTCTAAGCTGAGTGGTGTTCCTACAACAACATGCCTGAAGAGACTGTCTAGGACATGGTTTACATTCTCCAGGATGGCAAGCATCTTGGCAGGTGTGCTGGTCACAAGTGAGAGTTCTTCCACACACCTGACCACATGACCAGGTTTTGGAAGAGCAACGTCGAGTCTGTGGAGGCTGTTGTCCACAGTGGCATGTGTTAGTGACAGTCTTGGGACATGGTGGGCATGGGCCTGAGAAATACCAATGTGTTAGTGACAGCCTTGAGACATGGTGAGCATGAGTCTAAATAATACAACTCGAAATGTTTTTGAAAAACTTCAGAAATTACTGTCATATGCATATTTGTAATGCCATGGTATATAAAGACAGTGAGGAAACATACATCAATATATTTATCATTGTAAAATAATTAAATTTAGGTGTATAAAAATAATTTTGATAATTTTCAAATATTATCAATAAAAAAACAAACAAATGCAATTACAATAGTCACTTTAGATGGTCCGAATTAAACAATTCTTACCGGACTTAACAAAGTCCTTAAAACACTGCACAAGTTGGTGCAAAGAGTGATTTTGACCATGTAATGGATTAAGGATTCAAGCTCTCTATGAAAATAAAAAGAATGTTCAAACGTGGTGAAACACTGAAAATAAACAATGTTATGGTGAAAGAAAAGCAAATGAAGACTTGCCAGGATAATTACTAAGGTTTTGGGTAAATCTGCCAGAACAACTCTCCATAACAGAAGACACAAAATTAATGATTCTGAATTTATTTTTAACCCTTAAACTACCCAAACTTAGATCTACGTTCACTCGTGTAGCGCTCCAAATATTAAAAAAAAAAAAAATACTGAACACATTTTTCTACACGTTATAGGATAAAAAAAAGTGTTGCCGATACACCTTTTCTTCTCGTTTTTATTTTAATTTATATATTGTTTATGTTCTGATAATTACAATTTATAATAGTTCTTGTGATTTCACAGCCAATCTTTGTTTTGACATTAATATTAGGTACTGAAATAGTACTCAAGTTCACAATCACACTGACAGGTGAACATTTTCACCTGCCTGGGTCATTTACTATTGTCTAGAAATATATACACTGTTTATAGGTTCCAGCAATGTTTCAGACATGCTGGAGTATATCTTGAAGCATGGTGTTATGACAAGTGTTAGTAAACTGCTAACAGGCAGTGACACTTGATGAATGTGGTCAGTCGTCACGTGAGGTTACAGACCCTGAGCTGCCTTGGGGATTAGTGTGGACGGTTACAAAGCCATGGCTTGCTTTTGCATGGTTTTAAGATCCGAGGTTGGGGTGTTGAAGGAGGAAGTCCTGCTTCTCCAGGAGGAGATTAGGAGGCTGAAGGTCCACCTCAATGGGTCTGGGAGTGAGTGTGAGGTGGCTGGAGTGGTTGAGGGGAATGAGGCTTCTAGCAGTGAGGTGCAGTCTGTCACTCGCTGCGAGGAGGCTGTAGGTGGGATGGTAGTAACGGCTACCAGCAGTGAGGTGCAGTCCAGCACCTGCTACAAGTGGTAAGTGGTTCCCAGTAATGGGAGGAGCATCAAAATAAGGAAAGTTAAGAGTGAAGATTTGAAGGTAGGAAATCACTTCTCTGTACTTCAGGATGAATGTACTTCAGTGGCCAGTGAAGGGTACTACTGCCCCTGCTAATAGAGGCAAGCGCATTCTTGTGGTTGGTGACTCTCAGGTAAGATATATGGACCGTGCTTTCTGTAACAGGAATAAGAAGATGAGAGAAAGAGTGTGCTTCCCTGGAGCTGGTGTAAATGGTATAAAAACCTGTCGGTATTTTATACCATTTTAATGTTCAGGCTAGATAATATTATGTCAGGTAATGGGAACAAGCCCATTATCTGTCTTAATGCTGGTGGAAATGATATTGGGAAGGGTAGGAGAGAAGAGCTGCTAGATAAGTACAGGTCAGCTATAAACTTAATTAAGTCTAAGGGAGGGGTCCCAATCATATGTAGCATCTTGCCTAGAAAGGGAGTGGGTAATGAATGGTTGTCTAGGGCAATTGGTGTAAATTCCTGGCTAGACAGATGCTGCAAGGATCTTGCAATCCCATTCATTGACAACTGGGACAACTTTTATGGCAAACATGATATGTATATATGACATCTCTCTGGGGCAGGGGTGGTAGCACTTGCAAACTCAATTGAGGGGGCCATTGCTGAAATGCCTAGGATTTTAAACTGATAGAAGATAGAGGTATGGGTGTGTGTGGGAAACAGGAAGGTTGCAACACTAGGGTTGAAAACAGTAAATGTATAAAAGACATTCATCATGAAGTTATAAAGACAATAGATCAGGTCAGCAAATAAAAGGGGACAGCAGAGGGCAGCAAGGGACTAGCTCCCTTAAGGTTTACTATACTAATAGCACGAGTGTAAGAAATAAGATAGATGAGCTAAGATTAATTGCAAGTGGAGGAAACATAGATATTATTGCTATAACAGAGACCTGGCTCAATCTGAAAGACAGAGAGATGCCTTCTAAATGTCACATACAAGGCTATAAATTATTCCATACTGACAGGGTCAACAGGAAGGGTGGTGGAGTAACGATGTACGTTAGAGACAATTTAAATTGTTGTGTTAGACAAGATATAAAATTAGAAGCGTCAGCCACTGAATCTGTTTGGTTACAGCTTCTCAATAGATGTGAAAAACTAATTTTGGGTGTGATTAACAGGGCTCCAAATCTTGATAGGGAGTGCAGTAAACTTCTATGGGACGAAAATCGTAAGGCATCTGCATACGAAAATGTTGTGCTAATGGGAGATTTCAACTATAGACAGATTGACTGGAGCAATTTGACAGGAAATTTAGAGTCAGGTGACTTTCTTGATATGATTCAGGATTGTTTTTTAAAACAGTTTGTGACAGAACCAACTAGAGGAAATAACCTGCTTGACTTGGTTCTTGCCAGCAGGGAAACACTAATTAATAATCTTGAGGTTAATGATGAGCTTGGGTAAAATGATCACAAATCACTCAGTTTTAATATATCATGGAATTCCCCTAATAATGGTAATCAAGTCTCTGTCCCTGACTTCTGCTTGGCTGATTTCATAGGACTGAAAAATTACTTGGATGGACTGAACTGGAATGACCTGACTATGGGTCAGGTAGGTGGTGATGATTGCCAATATGACGTTTTTCAGGGCATAGTTCTAGCTTCTCAGACAATTTATGTTCCAAATAGGGAAATCAGATCAAACAAAAATTATCCTAAATGGATGAACAATAGATTAAAACATATAATTGGTCAAAAAAGAGGCATATATAGGCAAATCAAAAGAGGAGAGGGGCAATTAAGAAATCAATATATTCAGTTAAAGAGAGAAATAAAAAAGGGAATAAGAAAAGCAAAAAGAGATTATGAGGGTAAAGTTGCAAGAGAATCGAAGACTAACCCAAAAGGATTCTTTCAGGTATACAGAAGTAAGACCAGGGACAAGATAGGCCCACTCAAAAGTTACTCAGGTCAGCTCACGGACAATGATAAGGAAATGTGTAGAATTTTTAACACATACTTCCTCTCAGTTTTTACACAGGAAGATACTAGCAATATTCCAGAAATAATAAATTATGTAGAACAGGACAATAATAAACTATGCACAATTAGGGTCACAAGTGACATGGTTCTTAGGCAAATAGATAAATTAAAACCTAACAAATCCCCAGGGCCTGATGAACTGTACACAAGGGTTCTAAAGGAATGTAAAGAGGAGCTTAGCAAACCTTTGGCTAATCTTTTCAACATATCACTACAAAGTGGCATGGTGCCAGATAAGTGGAAAATGGCAAATGTGATACCTATTTTCAAAGCAGGTGACAGGTCCTTAGCTTCGAACTACAGACCAATAAGCCTAACCTCCATAGTGGGAAAATTTATGGAATCAATAATTGCCCAGGCAGTTTGTAGCCACCTTGAAAAGCATAATTTAATCAACGAATCTTAGCATGGTTTTACAAAGGGGCGTTCCTGCCTTATGAATTTATTAACTTTTTTCACTAAGGTATTTGAGGAGGTAGATCATGGTAATGAATATGATATTGTGTATATGGACTTCAGTAAGGCTTTTGACAGGGTCCCTCATCAGAGACTATTGAGGAAAATTAAAGCACATGGAATAGGAGGAGAAATTTTTTCCTGGATAGAGGCATGGTTGACAAATAGGCAGCAGAGAGTTTGCATAAATGAGGAGAAATCAGAGTGGGGAAGCGTCACGAGCGGGGTTCCACAGGGGTCAGTGTTGGGCCCCTGTTGTTCACAATCTACATAAACAACATAGATAAGGGCATAAAGAGCGGCATAATCAAGTTTGCTGATGACACCAAAATAAGCCGTCAAATTCATTCTGACAAGGACATATAAGTGAAACATATAAGTGAACAGTATTTAGATAAGGCTAAAGAGGTCTTTGTGGCATTTATGGATTTGGAAAAGGCGTATGACAGGGTGGATAGGGGGGCAATGTGGCAGATGTTGCAAGTGTATGGGGTAGGAGGTAGGTTACTGAAAGCAGTGAAGAGTTTTTACGAGGATAGTGAGGCTCAAGTTAGAGTATGTAGGAAAGAGGGAAATTTTTTCCCAGTAAAAGTAGGCCTTAGACAAGGATGTGTGATGTCACCGTGGTTGTTTAATATATTTATAGATGGGGTTGTAAGAGAAGTAAATGCGAGGGTCTTGGCAAGAGGCGTGGAGTTAAAAGATAAAGAATCACACACAAAGTGGGAGTTGTCACAGCTGCTCTTTGCTGATGACACTGTGCTCTTGGGAGATTCTGAAGAGAAGCTGCAGAGATTGGTGGATGAATTTGGTAGGGTGTGCAAAAGAAGAAAATTAAAGGTGAATACAGGAAAGAGTAAGGTATGAGGATAACAAAAAGATTAGGTGATGAAAGATTGAATATCAGATTGGGGGAGAGAGTATGGAGGAGGTGAATGTATTCAGATAATTTGGGAGTGACGTGTCAGCGGATGGGTCTATGAAAGATGAGGTGAATCATAGAATTGATGAGGGAAAAAAGAGTGAGTGGTGCACTTAGGAGTCTGTGGAGACAAAGAACTTTGTCCTTGGAGGCAAAGAGGGGAATGTATGAGAGTATAGTTTTACCAACGCTCTTATATGGGTGTGAAGCGTGGGTGATGAATGTTGCAGCGAGGGGGAAGGCGGGGAGGCAGTGGAGATGTCATGTCTGAGGGCAATGTGTGGTGTGAATATAATGCAGAGAATTCGTAGTTTGGAAGTTAGGAGGAGGTGCGGGATTACCAAAACTGTTGTCCAGAGGGCTGAGGAAGGGTTGTTGAGGTGGTTCGGACATGTAAGAGAATGGAGCGAAACAGAATGACTTCAAGAGTTATCAGTCTGTAGGGGAAGGAAGGCGGGGGGTAGGGGTCGGCCTGGGAAAGGGTTGGGGGGAGGGGGTAAAAGGAGGTTTTGTTGCGAGGGGCTTGGACTTCCAGCAGGCATGCGTGAGCGTGTTTTGATAGGAGTGAATGGGACAAATGGTTTTTAATACTTGACGTGCTGTTGGAGTGTGAGCAAAGTAACATTTATGAAGGGGTTCAGGGAAACCGGCAGGCCGGACTTGAGTCCTGGAGATGGGAAGTACAGTGCCTGCACTCTGAAGGAGGGGTGTTAATGTTGCAGTTTAAAAACTGTAGTGTAAAGCACCCTTCTGGCAAGACAGTGATGGAGTGAATGATGGTGAAAGTTTTTCTTTTTCGGGCCACCCTGCCTTGGTGGGAATCGGCCAGTGTGATAATAAATAATAAAAAAAGGACATTAGGTCACTCCAGGAAGATTTGAATAGACTGATGCAGTGGTCGGAGAAGTGGCAGATGCAGTTTAATACAGACAAATGGAAAGTTCTAAATGTGGGACAGTACAATAACCATGCCACATATAAACTAAATAATGTAGAATTAGGAATTCTGGTTAGCAGTAATCTGAAACCAAGACAACAGTGCATAAGTGTTCGTAATAAAGCTAACAGAATCCTTGGCTTCATATCAAGAAGCATAAATAATAAGAATCCTCAGGTTGTTCTTCAACTTTATATATCCTTGGTTAGGCCTCATTTAGATTATGCTGCACAGTTTTGGTCACCGTATTACAGAATGGATATAAATGCTCTGGAAAACATACAAAGGAGGATGACAAAGTTGATCCCATGTATCAGAAACCTTCCCTATAAGGATAGACTGAGGGCCCTGAATCTGCACTCTCTAGAAAAGCATAGAATTTGGGGGAATATGATTGAGGTGTATAAATGGAAGACTGGAATAAATAAAGGGGATGTAAATAGCGTGCTGAAAATATCTAGCCTAGACAGGACTCTCAGCAATTTATTTATTTATTTATTTAATAATTTGAACATACATACAGAGGTACAAAAAAATACAGGTAAGAGCAGCATGCCAAAGCTACTTGTATGCATAGCATTACGGGCAGGCTTAAAATTAACTTAAGATTAACTAAGCAATGATGTAATCAGTGATAAAACATTATTGTAAACAGATAAAAATAAAGCACAAATGAGTATTACAAAGACAGGTCATATGGTTGCATGCATTGCTGTACATTCAGTAGAATTTAGGAAGGATATAGGAAAGCACTGGTTTGGTAACAGAGTTGTGGATGAGTGGAACAAACTCCCAAGGACAGTTATAGAGGCTAAAACGTTCTGTAGTTTTAAAATTAGGGTAGATAAATACATGAGTGGGTGTGGGTGGGTGTGAGTTGGACCTGATTAGCTTGTGCTACTAGGTCAGTTGCCGTGTTCCTTCCTTAAGTGAATGTGATGTGACCTGACTAAGTTGGGTGCATTGGCTTAAGCTGGTAGGAGACTTGGACCTGCCTCACATGGGCCAGTAGGCCTGCTGCAGTGTTCCTTCTTTCTTATGTTCTTATGTTCACTCAGGGAACCCTCGCTTTATTTGTTTTCACTGTTACACACAAACATGTCTGTCTGTCTGTATCTATCTGATTGTCTCTATCTGTCTGTCTGTCTCTGCTTATCTGTCTAGCTCTGCTTATCTGTCTCTATCTGTCTGTCTGTCTCTGCTTATCTGTCTAGCTCTGCTTATCTGTCTGTCTAGCTCTGCTTATCTGTCTGTCTAGCTTTGCTTATCTGTCTGTCTGTGTGTACCTGAAGTATATATGAAACTCCTTGAAGAATGCTGTTATGACAAGTGTCCATAAACTGTTGACAGCCCAGTGACACTTGATAAATGAGCACTGCTCCAGGGAACCCTCACTTTATTTGTTTTCACTGTTACACACAAACATGCCTGTCTGTCTGTCTGTCTAGCTCTGCTTATCTATCTTTGTGTCTGCCTTGTGTGTCTTTCTTTCTGTCTGCTGTCTCAAGGAGTGGCTGTAAAACTGTTGGTTTGTGAGCCGCTCCCTGATTCCTGAACAAGTAAAAATGCACACTGCGTCATGGTTATTTATGTCTTATATCTACAAGCACAGTATAGCACTCTGCCTGAAATTTTTGGGTTATCCTAGGTAATTTACACTATGTATAATAACTGTACTGATGTGTACATGTGAGAGGTAGAGAGATAGACAGAGATATAGACAGATATACAGTGATATAGACAGAGACAGCCAAAGCCAGCCAGCCAGCTAAATGCATAAAAACATGAGAAAGAAGGAACACTACAGCAGGCCTACTGGCCCATGAAAGGCAGGTCCATGTCACCCCCCAGCTTAGACCAATGACCCACCAAGTCAGGTCACATCCACTGAAGGAAGGAGCATGGCATCAGACCTAGTAGCACAAGCTAGTCAGGTCCAACTCACACCCACCCACACCCACTCATGTATTTATCTAACCTATTTTTACTTTCCTCTTAAAAGGGGAGTGTTAATGCGACATGACATCAGTGAATCCCTGGTGTTTGCCATGCTATTTGCTCTAGCTGGCACTCAATTGAACTGGTGCTCCCACAAGGTACTAAGTGGTCCCAGATTTTTATAATACTGCGCACACCGAGCGTTAAGATCCATTCTCTCATGTCTAGGCAACTCAAGCCTATCGCCCCAATTTTGAAGGAATGAAAAATTAAACATTGATCTACATTTGGAGTGCTACGTGAGCAAACGTATATCTACATTTGGACAGTTTAAGGGTTAATAATGTAGTACTGTGTACAATATACAGTAAGCTACCCTATGTAATTTATACAGCTAAAGTGAAAGAAAAAACTAATACATTCATGTAGTGTAAATAAACAATTAAAAATAAACTAATAGTACATGTACAAAGAGAAAAGTGTCAACTGTGTGAGGATATACTAAACTCATGAATAACAATCATACCAGGATGACAGAGAAGCAGGCAGGTGTGACCACAGAATGGTCGTAGTTTCTTCATACAGGTTTCCCCGCAAGAGTGAGGTATGAGCCATGGATCAAACTGAGGATCCACTTTTTTACCACAAAAACATAAGTACTTGGTAGGAATTATGGACTGTGTGTACTCATTCCGGCATTTGGGG